CAGGGCACATCACAATACCCTAAAATTGTGCTTGCCACTCGACGGCCCCAGGGCCCATAAAGTATTCTTCGTATTTCAGCCTGTTCTGGCGGGCTGATGTAGTAGGCGACCTTGAATGGAGGTGTGGCAAGCTGTCCAAAGCCTCTCCCTCATTGTGCCACTCCCCAAGCTGCATTCTGCCACTTACCAGGTCCTCTTGGTCTGCCATGTTCATAGGCATGTATGTGGTGGTCTTTCTCCTGAGAAAATTGTGCAAACTACAGCAGCAGTGCACCACTAGATCAATTTTAGTCATGGCCAGATTTATAGCAGTATGGAGGACTCAGAAACGGTTAGCCATGATGCCGAATGCACTCTCAACCACACGTCTAGCACATGACAACCGGTAATTAAATATGCGTTGCTCAGGGGAGAGACCACGCATAGGGAAGGGTTTTAATATGTGTTCGCCAAGTGCAAATGCCTCATCGGCAAGAAATACAAAGTTGAGTACTTCCGTGTTCTCCTCATTGGATGGTAGATGTAACGACCCGTTACGTAATAACTCGTTGAAGAGTGTGCGCTCCATGACACCACCATCAGAGTGGCGGCCATTGCGTCCAATGTCAACGTAGATAAATTCATACCTTGCATTCACTATGGCCAGCAGAATAATACTAAAGTATCCCTTATAATTATAATAATAAGATCCTGAATTAGCAGGTGGGGTGATCCGTATATGCTTCCCATCAATGGCTCCACCGCAGTTGGGAAAGTTCCAGATGTCAGAAAATTGTTTGGCTATGGCCTTCCAACCTGCAGCATCTGTAGGAAACTGAAATAGACAATACATTAGACCTGTAACATATTTAAACACATAGTTCATGATGACATTTTTTTTTTTTACATTGCACAGGACAGTGTTTGCTTGGAAGAGACATGTGAGGCACAGCCAGGACCCTCTGCAGCTGCTGCATGCAGGCCAAGAAAGAGGCCAGCAACAGACCGTGCTATTGATGAATTCCTTAGCAAGCATCTGCGGCACTTGATAAACAGCCAGATAAAAGTCCTCTGTTCTTTCAAGTAGCAGCATTGAAGATGAGAAGCATGGAGGACCATCAACGCCAATACGCACAGACATTGGTGTTCCGCATCATGGCCAAAATGGTCTTCTGGGTCACACACACACACCATTTGCGACAAGGAACACCATACAAGGGTCCAAACAGGTAATGCGTGCCTGTAGGGATGTCCAGATACCGATACTAGTATCGGTATCGGGGCCGATACCAGGCATTTTCACAAGTACTTGTAATTGTGAAAATGCCCCTATTCTTAAGCCAGATACAGGTCAATTTTTAAACCGCAGCATCTGCTGAGCACCTGCGCTTGTGGGGACCTCAGCAGCTTGCTGGTGACCTGCAAGTAGCTGTCCATGGCAGTGCCTGCCTGGTTCTTTATCTCCTCCTCCTTCCCGGCACAGCCATGGACAGCCCCATGGGCAGAACTACCGGCAGTGCAGACGGAGTGACCGCCCCTGTGTCCAAAGCTGGGGGATCCTGATGCCTACTGACAGGGGAGGACCAGGACTACCGTATCGGTAATTGGCATCGGCAAGTACCTGCGGGAAAGGACTTGTACTTGATCTTAAAAAAGTGGCATCGGGACATCCCTACGTGCCTGACATTTGATGTTGGAACATAAACCAAGTAACAAACTGGTATCAGCAGACAGCTGCACCAGAATGCATGCCACCACACTCTCCCCAACTGCAACACAAGCAGGTAGGACATTTGGGCACTCAGTATGTACGGAGGCCCGACCAATCAGCACATGCAGACCGTAGTCATATACATGGGCCCCAATACATACACCAACCTATACGTTTGCATCCATATGTCACTAGCATTGTTAAATTTAAATATTTTAGATTACTGTTTCGTGTGTGTAGTTCTTTACAGTTACTCTATGCATTTTGTGTCAGAAATGTTTATAATAAAGAAATGACCTTGAAATATTCTTCTTGTAAGACGTTGATGATTTCAGCACATGTCTCTGGTATGATACGGCCGAGTGCCTGTGCTGATATCCCTGTTGAAAATGTCAAATCTTCCAGGTTGCGACCAGTTGCCAGCAATCGGAGGGTGGCTCTCAGGCGTTGGTCGGGGGGTATGGCTTGGCGCAGCACGGTGTCATCCTTACGGATTAGGGGGGTGACCAGAGTCAGCAGTGTTCTGTATGCTTCCTCCGGCATCCTGAGGTAGTTTCGATAGTCCTCCGGGTTGTTCTCCCTCAACTCATTCAGGAGACAAACGTGGGAGTACATGTCACGCTTCCGCAGCCAATCCTTGGACCATAGGCGTCTTCGAGTGGACTTGCGTTGGCGCTTCAATCTTATAGCAGCGACACCTACCAAAATGGCAGACAATGCAGAAGAATCCAGATCCATCATTTGCTTGTATCAAACAACTGTGGGGACGAACGCAGTGTGTTCCTAGGGTTTTAAACACGAAACGTGAACGACAACGCCCACTTTGACGCGGCGTCAGCTCATTTCCGTCGTTCGAATAATATGGTGCGCAGTTCTAGAACACCCGCACGTTAGTTGTACGATAGCTAGTCGAAACAAGGTGGGATACTCGTTCGACGGTCGTACGGTCTATTAGGTGCCGCCCGAATATTTTCGTACGATAATCGTAAGGTGTATGGGCACCTTTAGAGCTCCGGGTGGGATGAAATCTCCAGTCCTGGGGCCAGGTGCTACCAATGACCAGTATAGCTGATCAGGTGGCTGAGAGCGGCCTTATTATGAAGCCAGCCCAGTGCTCAGGGGAGAGTTGGAGGTGCGCAGGAGGCACATGGCCACAGGCAGACTCTGCTGCGTGCATGAGCACAAGTGACACGGCCAGGAAGGCTGGGAGAGGTCAAGAGGCTTGGGGACCCTGAGATACCTGCTAAAGTAAGGGTGCCCATTAGGTAGATGGTGATCTAGCTCTCAAAGCTGATGCTGGTAGATCAGGAAGGGGGGTGAATGGCGGCCCCTTTATTCCATGTTGGTATATTTATTTAGATGTGCACACATGATTACCTATTAGCCTGAGACTGCTGAGCCCAGCTCCCTGACACCTTTCTGGTGGATACTGGGGGTTGTAGTGCTATGTATTACATCAAAGAATATTTGTCTATACAGCCTGTTACACTACACTGTTTGCAAAATACAGCAAGGTGAGCCAGGGGAGAGACAGCCAGGAGAGAGCGCGAGGAGAGACAGCCAGGAGAGAGCGAGCGGGGAGAGACAGCCAGGGGAGAGAGAGAGACAGCTAGGAGGATGAGCAAGGACAGACAGCCAGGGGAGAGAGCGGGGAGAGACAGCCAGGAGAGAGAGAAGGGAGAGACAGCCAGGAGAGAGAGAAGGGAGAGACAGCCAAGAGGATGAGCAAGGAGAGACAGCCAGGAGAGAGAGCAAGGAGAGACAGCCAGGAGAGGGAGCGGGGAGAGACAGCCAGGAGAGAGAGCGGGGAGAGACAGCCAGGAGAGAGAGCAGGGAGAGACAGCCAGACGAGAGAGCCAGGAAAGAGAGAGCAAGGAGAGACAGCCAGGAGAGAGAGCGGGGAGAGAGAGGAGAGACAGCCAGGGGAGAGAGGAGAGACAGCCAGGAGAGAGAGGAGAGACAGCCAGGAGAGAGAGCGGGGAGAGAGGAGAGACAGCCAGGAGAGAGAGCAAGGAGAGACAGCCAGGCGAGAGAGCGAGGAGAGACAGCCAGGAGAGAGAGCGAAGAGAGACAGCCAGAAGAGAGAGAGGAGAGACAGCCAGGAGGATGAGCAAGGAGAGACAGCCAGGAGAGAGAGCGGGGAGAGACAGCCAGGCGAGAGAGCCAGGAGAGACAGCCAGGCGAGAGAGCAAGGAGAGACAGCCAGGATGGAGAGCGTGGAGAGAGAGGAGAGACAGCCAGAAGGATGAGCAAGGATAACAGCCAGGACAGAGAGAGAGAGGGAGGTTTTCTTTCCGTTGGTAGATCTCATGTAGCTCGTCATTTGAAAAGTAGATCTTAACACAAACAATTGTGGGCACCCCTGTGCTAGAGAGACAAAGAAGAGAGAGAGGAGAGACAGCCAGGAGGATGAGCAAGGAGAGACAGCCAGGAGAGAGAGAGACAGCCAGGAGATAGAGAGACAGCTAGGAGGATGAGCAAGGACACAAACAATTGTGGGCACCCCTGTGCTAGAGAGACAGAGAGGGACAGTGACCCATGAGGGGTGAATACTGAACCGCTTGGAGCTGAGGAAAGCTGCTGAGCGGTGCTGAGGACTCACAGAGAAATACGGTAAAGTCCTGGCACTATCACACGGGGAGTGTATGGGACACACAGATGTCGGTGAGACCAAAACATGATGTCTTGATGAGACTCCTGAATGAACTGTTCTTAATTTATGCGGAATAAAGACCGTCCTTTTATGTTAACATCGGCTTCAGGAGCGGTCTCTTAGGCCCCATTCACACTGCGCGATTCGCAAATCGCTCGTTTGTCGCGCGATTTGCATTTTGTGCGATATCGCGCAAATGCTTGCATTGATACGCGGCAAAATCCGCTCCAAGCGACGCACGACCCGCGACAGCAGGACCCTTTGCCCCATTGCCAAGCATTGGAGAGCGATATCGCACGGTAAATAGCCGCGATATCGCGGGAATTACCGCACGATAAATCGCTCAGTGTGAACGGGGCCTTAGCGCTCACCATTGTGCTATATTCCCCAAACTATCGCACTGTATACCTAAAAAACTGTAACACAACTATAGCCCCCCCCCCTCATCTTTCAGTGATGTAAACGCTTCCTCAGACACGATGAAGTAAATCAGAAAGCGTTTCGGTGTTTCAGCGTTTTATTGGATCGCATTATTAGAAAAAGCGTGGCGTCATAAAATCTGACACGACTCTGTGTACAAAAAAACGAAATCCTCCCCCAAACAGTCAAATAAATAGCAGTAGGAATGATGTCAGACGTTTGAGCCAATGTCGACCGCGAGGATTAAGATTCACGTTTTACAAGTACAAAAGCTCCCATGATCGCCAAAACAGCGTACTGGAAACACAAATAAGAAATGTAAAAAAAAAATAAAAGCATATTATAGCCGAACTCCAAACACGTAGAAAAGACACAATAAAGGCAGCTGAATGTATTCCGAGGGGGTGACACCAAAATGACTGTGAGTCATTTTGGTGTCACACCTCCAATGGTGGCACCCGGGTGTGGGCCGCACCACCCTTGTGACGCCACTGTGTATTATATATCATGAAATGTAGTAAAGGAGAACTATGAGGCTGAGTAATTGTGCTGCTTCTCTTTTTACTGTCCAATCACAGGCTGGGGGAGGGACAAGACCCTGTAAGTGTTGGTGAAATGCAGCAGAGAACTATCAGTTCCCATCCCCCTTAGCTATGCTGTGTGGCAGAGCTGAGTAAGGGCCCAGTCACACTAGTTGCAGTGCGTTCCGACTCGATTCCGGCCAGAACGCACTGCCTTGCATTGCGGCCGGCACGCTTTTTTTTGCCGGGCAAGAGGGGGCGCGGCGGGCCATTCAAGTGGATGGAGCCATAGCCACGCCCTCCGCCCGCACAGGATCGCAAGGCACATTGTGCCTGCAGTCCGGTGCGATCAAAATGCTGCACCGGACTGCAGGCACAATGTGCCTTGAGATCCCGTGCGGGCGGAGGGCGTGGCTACGGCGCCATTCACTTGAATGGACCGCCGCGCCCCCTCTTGCCCCACTAAAAAGGGAGCCGGCCGCAATGTGAGGCCAGAACGCACTGCATCTAGTGTGAATGGGTCCCTTAATATCAGGATTGAATGGAGGGAAATACAAATCATTTTGAAGTAAAACTACATGCATGACGCACACCCCATGCTGCCCCAGGATGGCCATGGTGACTGTCTTGATCAGCTTCATGGGGGGGTCCCTAGCTGAGGACCCCGTCATTAGCAATATACTATGACATAGGGCGCTATTTTGGCAAATAGGTAAAAATATTCCCAGAGGTTTTATTGTAGGTTCTGCTGTCATTAGGAAAATAAAAAAAAATCACATTAAAAAATATTTTGTTTTTTTGCTTTACCTTAAATTTGGGATAATCATTCATCACTATAGTTACCATTCCGACATACGGCAAAAACCTGGGGGGAGAAAAGGATAACAATAACCATCAGATTTTTTTTATTTCTTTTTTTGGAAGTGTTAAGTTGAGCCCCTCCCAATACCTGTCTCCCCAACAGACTAGGGGAAAGATAGGCTGATAGAAGAAAATTGTGCCCCCCAACAGACGTGTTAGGTCACCCGATGCCACACACGCACGGCGTCATGTGACGTCATGCGCCCCACCTCCAGGATGGCGGCACCAAATAATGCAAACAAAAATAATGTTTTATCATTTAATTTAGGGGAAACAGTTTTTAGTTTTTTTTTTTAAATGTCGGTAATTTCTCCTTAAAAGGAGAACTATGGGGTCAGGGCTTTTCCCCATAGTTCTCCTTAGGGTCACGGGAGGACGCAAACTAGCGTCCTCCCGTCACCCTAAGCTCAGTATATAGGGAGCTGCAGCTCGCGAGACGCCGCAGCCGGAGCGGATCCCCACAATTATGTCTGGATCCGCCCAGCTGCGTGAGTGACAGCTGGCTCTGCCTATCTAGAGGCAGAGCCAGCTGTGCCCGCCCCCTCCCCCGTCCGTTCCGCCAGTCAGCGCTGGCAGATCGGAGCGGGGAGAGGGGAATCCAGCAGAGAGCCGTGACAGGATCGAGAGGTGAGCGAACGCCGGCATGTGTTCGCTCACCTCCCGATCTACTGAGCCGACCTGTGACAGTCTCATTGTCACAGGTCGGCTAGAACTATGAGGAGTGAAAAGCACCCCCCCCTCCCCTCATATTTCTCCTTTAATATAGTGATTAAATACCACCAAAAGAAAGCTCTATCTGTCCCCAAAAAAATGGTATAAAATGTATTTCAGTACAGCGCTGCATGACGGAATAAATGTCAGTCAAAGTACCGCAGCGCTGAATACTGAAACAATGGCCTGGACAGGAAGGGGGTGTAACACCGCGGGCTTCACGTGGTTAAGTATTCACTGGTTTTTTTTTTTTCACCCAGCAGCTGAGCTCTTGCCTACTTTTAACAAGTTTTCCATAAAAGCCTTTGCTGCTTTGCTGAAGAAAAAAAAAAAACCTGCATACGGAGCTCAGTAGCTCAAGCTTCAATCTGCATACACAAGTGAATAAGTCAGAGCAGTGTCTCCATCTCCTAACTCCCTCTTGTTGAGTATACACTAGGGATGCACAGATACTAGTATAGATATCGGTGCCGATACCGAATATTTGGGTGAGTACTCGTACTCAGCCCAAATGCTCCGATGCCTAGCACGAGTACTTCCTGTATCAGAAAGCAGGGCGTCGCGTCATTACACGCTGCCCGGTTTCCTTATTGGCCGGGAAGCCGGCTCCATGCTCTCTCGTCACTTGTGATGAGACAGCATAGAGCCGACTTCCAGGCCAATCAGGAAGCCGGGCAGCGCGTAATGACACAGCGCCCGACATTCTGATTGGCCGGGAAGCTGGCTTCATGCTCCCTCGTCATCTCATGCTCGAGGGAGCATAGAGCTGGCCTCCCGGCCAATCAGAAAGCAGGGCGTCACGTCATTACACGGCGCCCGGCTTCCTAAATGGCCGGCCAGACGGCTAAGGCTGGGTACCGGAGGAAAGCCGCGTTCTGGCTGGAGAGGCCCCCGGGGGGTGACAGGCTGGACATACCAAGGTAAGAGGGAACTTTCGGGAAGCCGGGCGGTGAGTCAAGCTCATTGTCACAGGTCGGCTCAGATTATGAGGCTGAGTGAAAATTACTCGCCTCATAGTTCTCCTTTAACTCAAGGCCCCCAGAGCTCCAAGGAAAACATGGAACCAATTAGCCATCATACTAATGAGCACCACCTCCAACCGAAAGAGAAAACCACAACTCACCCTCTCGCCCTGCCTACTACGTCCTTCTTTTCCAGCCAGTTCTGGCCTTCTTTATATAGACCTCGGTCATCAACTTCATTGTTGTCACCTTTGGTCAGGAACTTAATATTCTCTTTTAAATGTGAAAACATTCTACATTTGGATCCAGACCCTCCCACCTCCATTTTACACAGAAATACATGATGGGTTGTCATTGCCACTTTGGTTCTAATGGATCAACCTCCAAAATCATCACTTCCCTACCTAGAGTCAAAAGACTTGAACAAACACACACGATGGGAGTTCACACATTACCAACTATGTGCCTGTTTCTTGGCATGTAGTGAAGCCAAGGATAAGGATGACTGCCTCAGAATTTGGTTCATCCATAAATTCAGCAATGGCAGCTCTTGTACGTCTTTCTCTCAGGTTTATATTAAACTAAAACCAAAACCTTTTATTTTTGGATAGAGTAAAGTAGGGTTATACCCAGACCCGTCAGCTTTTTTTTTTGTCTTGTGTCCCATTGGGGAGATTTTCCTTCACTTCTTGCCGAGAGCCACAACAGAACGTGGGAAGAAATCTCACCAATGAGACGGAAATCCCTGGTGGTCAGCAGGGTCAACAAAACACTTTATGCTTAAAGGAGAACTATGGGGTCGGTTCATTTCCCCATAGTTCTCCTAAGGGTCAGGGGAAGACACAAACTAGCGTCCTCCCGTCACCCTAAGCTCAGTATATAGGGAGCTACCGCTCGCGGTATACTGAGACGCCGGAACAGATCCCAACAATTATGTCTGATCCGCCCAGCTGCGTGACTGACAGCTGGCTCTGAGGCAGAGCCAGCTGTACCCGCCACATTCCCCGTCCGTTCCGCCAGTCAGCGCTGGAGGATTGGATAGGGGAGGGGAGGGGGGAGGAAACCAGTCCCTCCCCTGTCACGGCTCTCTGCAGTGACAGGATCGAGAGGTGAGCGAACGCCGGTATGTGTTCGCTCACCTCCCGATCTACTGAGCCGACCTGTGACAGTCTCATTGTCACAGGTTGGCTCGAACTATGAGGTGAGTGAAAAGCACCCACCTCATTGTACTCCATAGTTCTCACTGCAGCTAAGCAAAAAAAAAAGTGAGCTCGCAAATCCTCATATAAACTCCAAAACTGACCCTTGGAGTCCCTGAGCCTCAAGGTCGGGTGTACCCAATAACGACGGGGGATGCACCAATACCGGTATTTTGGTACCGAGTACGAGTACGGATCATTTTTATCCGGTACTCGCCGATACCAATTACCGAGTAACGGAAGTCCCATTCAGGAAGCCAGGTGGCGTGTATGCTCCCTCATCATGAGATGACGAGGGAGCATGAAGCCAGCTTCTCGGCCAATCAGAAAGCAGGGTGCCGCGTCATTACACGGCATCTGGCTTCCTGATTGGCCCGGGAAGTCGGCTCCATGCTCTCTCGTCACTTGTGACGAGAGAGCATGGAGCCGCTTCCTGGCCAATCGGGAAACCGGGGAGCGTGTAATGACGCGCTACCCGGCTTCCTGATACCGGAAGTACTCGTGCTAGGCATCGGAGCATTTAGGCGAGTACTCGCCCAAATACTCGGAATGGGCACCGATATCGATACTAGTATCGGTATCGGTGCATCCCTACTAAATATCTTTATTCAGGAAGCTCTCTATGTCGCCAGGAAACTGATAGTCAGATTGTGGATACAGGTGCTACCCCCCCACCCCAACTATTGCTCACTGGAAGCAAATGCTGAATGTTGCTCTCCTATGGGATAGATGGACTGCAAGGTCACCCCACCTGTGATCCTGGATATAGAAAACTACACTGGTGATTAGGTATAAGGACGCAATTCTCTTCTATGTTTCCTCCTTTCTTTTACCTTTTTCCTTCTCCCAGCCCTTCTTCTGTGTCATTTCTTTTTCTGTCCGCCTCTATTGTTCCCGTTCTTTTGTTCTTTCTGCAATTAAGATTGTGTTAATTGTGCTTTGATGGTTACGTTTTTACATGTCGGATCGTTGGTTAGTGCAATACAGAAAACGTCATACTCTGGTAGAGTTATTCCGATGCGCTGCTTGTCTCTTTTTGCACATGCTCATTGAATGCGCACCTGGTTCTCACGTTTCTTTTTTCTCGTTCAATCAAGTATTTTGACATTTAAAAAAACCACCCTGCCAAATCATCCCTTCTCACGAAGACCCACGAAAGATTATCCAGTATCCTAACAGATACTCACGCCAAATTTTTGAAGGTCTGGGAGCCTTGGGTGTGACACCAACACCCTGAACTAGATGTGGAAACCCTTAGACATCTATAGGAGTATTCCCGTGAGGCGTGGTAGGTGCCCCCTATGGAGACAGGCAGCGGATCCACTGAACCGACCAATAATTTACCACACCGATGGATCTACTGCCCACTTCACTCTTCCCCCTCCTACTCCTCCCTCTCAAAAATGTCTTCCTCTATTTACTCTTTGCTTACCATAGACAGCCACATAGCACTTGTAACCAATTTGTACTTTTTTTTAGGGCTGTGGAAATGAAAGATTAAATTTCTCGATTGATCGTTAAACTTTTGGGATTAGTGTGATCCTAGTTCATTTTATTACGTCATTGCTGTGCTGTATGTGTATAGGCCAATGTAGTTGGATCTGTATGTGCGTTATAATTAATCGAAATTTATCGATTAAAATTTGTTTTCGATTAATCGAACACGAAAATTTTAATCATTACCAGCCCTACTTTTTTTTACTCATTTTAGTATTTGAAAACCATCTGTACTGAACCCTATGTGCACTCTCTAATCTATTTATGGAAATGTAATAAAAAACTTTGGTACAAAAAAAAAGCTAGCTCCTTTTGCGCCCGAGGCAAGAACAGAAAATTGTGCCCCCCAACAGATATTTGCGGTATGCGACGTCATGCGCCCCGCCTCCAGGATGGTGGTGCGCATGCGCAGAATGCGCTGGTGGCCAAATCAAAAATAGCATAAAAATGTGTTTAGTTTGACGAAACCAATGAAAACATTTTTAGTTTCCGTTCATTTCATCCGATACACATTTTTCATCTTTGTCTAGGTCTAGTAATGTGTGTGTGTGGTGTTTTTGTTTTGTTTTCATTTATTTGTTATTATAATTTTTATTTTTACTGTTGGGGGGGCTTCGGGGAAATATTGGGGGTCTAAACAGACCCCTGACATTTCCCTTTTGAAATAGAATAAGAGATTGAGGACACAAAGTCCTCTGCCCATACAGGTGGGGGAGAGCAGCGGAGATCCAAGGAGAAGCTGGAGCCTGTGCCGCTCATCTTCTCCCTGCCGAGCCGGGTCTGTGTTGGCCGCCTGGCGCCCCTGTTGCCAATGGTGCCCCGTGCTCGCCATGGCAACAGGGCCCTGGTTGCGCCCCCCTCTCAGCTGCGCCTGAGGCGAGTGCCTCATTCGCACCATGGTAGCTACAGCCCTGCCGCCACAATGTAAAATTAATAGAGTAAAAGCTTCCCACAGGTAACGGGACTCGGGAACAGAGGCAGGTAACGGGACTCGGGAACAGAGGCAGGTAACGGGACTTGGGAACAGAGGCAGGTAACGGGACTCAAGACTGGGGACTCAGTAGGGTTGCCACCTGTCCAGGATTCACCCGGACAGTCCGGGTTTTGAATGCTGTGTCCGGGTTTCATGGCAGCTGAATCACAGGCATAAGAAGTCAGGCAGACAGGGGCAACCACAATTAAGATAGGGGCTACTGGCCCCCCACTGAAAATAGTCTCGACTGTGATATTTACATAGGAATGGGTGGCACTATTTACATATGGATAAGCCACAACTCATTGTCCCCCCGAAAATTCCATGCGTCGCTAGAGTGTTCGGGTTTCGATGGAAGAAAAGGTGGCAACCCTAGGACTCAGGATTAACAGGAAACAATAACAGGTTACTGGGCCATCGTCCTGACTGCAGGGAGGGTTTAAATACCCTCCCAGGAAGCACCAGGTGATGGCTAAGTTCAGGCAGCTGGGAGACACCCGCAGGTGAGCACTGGAGCTGCAGGTTCCAGCACCACCCAGTGGTGGTCTGGTACCTAACAGTTCCCGGCTGCCTGGAGACACCTGCAGGTGAGCACAGGAACTGCAGGATCTGGCTCCGGCGCCACCTGGAGGCGCTCTGGATCCTGACAGCCAAGCATGCATTTTTATGGACTGTGCAAAGCACTAGCTTTATCTCTGGAAATGGCAATTATTTTATAGACATCCTAACAACTAGGGAGTCTTCAGTACTACAAACAGTGTCTTGGCACGGAGGGCTTGCTGCAGTGACTAATAATGAAATCCGAAAATACATTACTTTTCATGAACTTTGATGACTCTGTGAACTATAGGGATATCCCTTCCATCTACTTTAAAGACCACAATTTCTCCGCCACGGATGGGGTCTTCCTGGAAGTTGGTTAGGAAAAGCAAGTCTCCCCGGTGAAACGCTGGTTCCATACTGCCACTGCAAGAGAAGAAGGTAGGTGTCACTGAGCTGCCTATGAGCTCCGGTTGTGTATATTTGCCTAAGAGCAGATTTATAAGTCGTAACATCAAGATCATAAAATGGGATTATAGTCCTCATATGTGGAAGAGGAGACAAGTCACAAACAGATCTATACAAATGTTTAAAGGGAACAAAGTATTAGTCTGGCTGAAGTACTGTAGTGTTAGTTCAATAAGTGTTTATTGAGAGTTGTCACAAACAGAGATACATAGACAAAGCATATCAGCCCAAGTGTCAGGAATCGGATCTGAACCCTGTAGCTGGCGGTGGTTCTACCTGCTGAGACACCTTGGAACCTTGGATAGCTCCTTGCCTGATCTCCTTTGTAATCCTCAATTATACCTAATCTCTGCTGAACTCCTTGCTCCTCCCTTGAACTTCCTTTTTAAGCCACGCCTCTGCACTTCCTGGTTGCCAGATTATTGTGCTCCTGCCGATATCTTGCTTCCTTGATCCTCCCTTGAACTTCCTATTTAAGCCAAGCCTCTGCACTTCCTGGTTGCCAGATTATTGTGCTCCTGACGATATCTTGCTTCCTTGCGCCGCCCTTGAACTTCCTATTTAAGCCACGCCTCTGCACTTCCTGTTTGCCAGAGTATCGTGCTCCTGCCGATATCTTGCTTCCTTGCTCCTCCTGTGATACAATCCTCTCATACTGCTACCCGTGCACCGACCTTTGGATGCTGATTCACCGACTACTCTCATCGTCTCCTGCTTCATACCTGATACCTTTGGCTGCTGACCTCGGCTTGTTCGCTGACTACGCTTCTGCCTGCTTCTCCACTACTACTGTCTGCTTGTGTACCGAACCCGGCCTGTTATACCACGAATTTGCCTGCTGCTTCAGCTACTGGACTCCAAGCCTGATCCCAGATCGTGACACAAAGAGGGCAACTACCATTGAACAGCACAAATATGCATGAAAAGTACAAGACTCGTCGTGTGATAGTAGTACATCCAGATGTAGGAACCCTGGCGTCTATGCCGTTGGTTCTGTAAGTGCACAAGGAAATGGTTCCGATTTCAGGAGCACTGCATTAATTCCACCTCCTAGATGGAAGCGGTCATAATAAACAACAGCCAGGGAAGGGTAGATTAGCCTATACCAACCATCCCATCATACTGAAATACCGGTAGCCATACAATAATGCCAATATGTGCCATTGAAAACAGAACGTCCTATGTAAGAGGAAGGCATAAGCACCAAGTAGGGACATAGAGACTAAACCCCCATGCACACTAAGCGACATACCTTTTGCCGCGGATCCGCGCGACTCTTCGGGGCGACGATAGAGCGACCTTCACCGTTGGGCTCCATTTAAAAAAAATAGAAAAATTGTGCAAAATCCGCCGAAAAAAAGGGTCCTGCTGGAGCGACATGGAGTTAAGACAGCTGGCCGGCGACTTCTCGCGGCAAAAATTCGCGATATATCGCTTAGTGTGAATGGGGCCTAAGAGAGACTTATAGATGAAGATGAACGGATGGTGGAGAAGGACAGAAGGAAAGAGGAGGACAAGGTAGGGTTGGGGGGAGGAAATGACACCTCACCGAGGAAGAGTCACTCCGTAAAGGAGCCCACAATGAGGGACCCAACCGTGTGAAGGAAGGCATAAGAACCAGGTAGAGACATATCCCACAATGAGGGACACAGATGCCCCCACCCCCACTCCCCCACATAACATTAGAGAAGTTAGGGGAGTATCTCAGCCGAAAACCTAGCAGAGGCCCGAAAGTCAAGCCACACGGACCATGAAGCACTGTAGTGTTAATTCCAAACTGTGGCCCACGTGGGTTGCACTTGGCAAGTCTTCAAATTTTAGAGGACCCCCATCACATAATAATATGACCAAAGCATTCACTCTCACAAAGGCTGACATTAAAGGAATCCCAAAACAACAGAATTACGAGGGCTCCGAGAGGTACCGAAAAAAAATTGAGTGACAAACCAAATGTTGTGAGATCATGAACAGTTTCTTGCATCATGAAACATCAACAAGGTCAAGCCAAAAGGTTGGGTTGTAAAGGGTTCCCTAGGAGAGACGCCGGCCACTCACATCGCTCTTGTCCCGCAGCGCTCGGCCGGCTGTCACTTCATTTTCTCCCCGCTGGGACACAGAGCAGCGCCCAGCCGGGAGAAAAGAAACCAGGGATGCGCCGCAGTATAGGCTAAAACATGGCTCTTTCGGCATTATGCCCAAAAGTGCAATTTTCGGCCGATATATCGGTGCATCCCTAATATTTAGTTGGTGTCACTTTACTTATTCATGCTTCTTTATGTTTGCTTTTGAGTGTTATGTTTAGTTGTGCTGTTTACAATGAATGGTATACGACTCATTGATCTTGTCTGGCGTGGTCACACTAATTTGGTCCTCCTGCGTGGGTACCTGCATGCGGTGTGAGGACACCAGCACACGGTCCCCTTCCACCGCGTACGAAAGAACTTAACACAACGCGCTTTTAAGCTCGACAGAATTTGTTTGTGTTTGGCGCAATTGATGCCGAAAGTACGCCTTTTAGCGCGGCGTGGATTTGTGCGCTCAGTCCAGAACATAAATAAGATGCCACACCATTTTTCAGGAGCAACGCCATGCGGTACGTCTACCGATCATCCAATAAGTGATTGACAGTAAAGTGAAATATGAGCAGCGGGTCTGTAGGTTACCTGAGTACGACAACTATGGGGCTCTCGCTGCCGGTGACTACAATAAGGCCTTTCCATATCATGAGAGCCGATGATACTATCATGGCAAAATTCAGCGCCTGATAGTACAGCTGTGGAGACACAAAAGAAGAGCAAAGATTAGTCACGTTTCATTCATTCAAACGGTCAATTCACAAGTAAAAGGTTCTGTTACCCCGCAGCAATAAAATAAGTGAATCCTTAAAAGGAGAACTATGGGGTCAGGGCTTTCCCCCATAGTTCTTAGGGTAACGGGAGGACACAAACTAGCGTCCTCCCGTCACCCAAAGCTCAGTATACCGCGAGCTACAGTATATGTATAGACATAGTATATCAGGGGTGTGGAAATTTTAGAAAAAACTACTTGTCCAAGGACTAAAGCGGGGGCCGAATCTACTTGTCCCTCATGACAATCTACTTGTCCTGATACAAAAAATGTTTTTTAACCAAAACCGTATTTATATTTTCTCATTGGTCAGTGCCGTCAGGTGACTGCGTTGACCAACGAGTGCTTGCAATTTGCGAGCGAAATTCAGAATACATGGAACAGGTACACCCGTACTGGTGGACGAGAAGGACCATTCGCCGAAAGGTAAGTATAGTGGGAGGGAGATTTGTGCGGGTAATTCCATTTTCCCAAATTACTTGGGAAAGTGAATTTACCGTTTAGGTTGGGTGCAGACCTGGGGATTCCCAGGATGTGCGGTGGCATACAGCTCGGCTTCGGGGTGATGTCGCTCGGCCCTCGGGGTCATGTCGATCGGCCTCGGGGTCATGTCGCTCGGCCCTCGGGGTCATGTCGCTCGGCCTCGGGGTCATGTCGCTCGGCCCTCTGGGTCATGTCGTTCGGCCTCGGGGTCATGTCGCTCGGCCCGCGGGGTCATGTCGCTCGGCCCTCGGGGTGATGGCGCTCGGCCTCGGGGTAATGGCGCTCGGCCCCGGGGTGATGGCGCTCGGCCCCGGGGTGATGACGCTCAGCCCCGGGGTGATGACGCTCAGCCCCGGGGTGATGGCGCTCGGCTTTGGGGTGATGGCGCTCGCGTTGTATGACATGTGACCGGTTGTGGTCCCGGAAGGTCTATGATGACACGGAGCTGCAGACAGCTGGTACAAGTCACCCAACCTGCAGAACGAGACATGTTCTCCGTCCTCTGTTACACATACATGTCATGGGGACACGTCATACATGCAATTATGTTTTAGGACATAAAGCAGATTATCGGCAGCTACGCACGCAGCAGGTGCCGGAGATTTCCCCTTTAATGGGATCCGTATCACAATGATAAGTCACAGAGGTGAATACACATGGTAATCATGAAGCAGCACATGGCAGATCACAAGACCAGTCTCCATGGATGCTCCATGCAATATGCTGCTAGTGTGCCCCCCTGAAATAGAATACAGGTGTATAATAATAATAATAAGTGACAAAGATCAATAAAATAATAATAAAGCCATCAGGCAGATAACTGGTGGAGTGAGTTTGGGGGCTACATGCACCATGTGCCTAGCGTGCCCCCCTGAAATAGAATCCCCATCTATAATAACAGCAGTAAATAAAGAGTCCGATAATACAATGGTAATAATACAGCATAAGGCAGACGACTGGAGGAGCGAGTCTGCTGCTCCATGCACTCTGCTGCCGAGGATAAAAGTTACTGACTATTAATGTGGGGCCCCTGGCAGTCACCCACCTGCCTCTTGTTCATCCTCAGCAGGTCCCCGAACACATCCATGTCTACGGTGCCGGCCCGGGAGATGGGCACATGGGCTGAGCTATCACAACACACAAGCTGACAGCAGGAGGAGGAGGAGAAGATACCCCCCCCCCCCCTGCTCCATGTGGTGCTCGCTCATAGGCCGCTCGCAAAGCATCTTGGGAGTTGCAGTCGGCGCTGTGGCTCTCCGCCGTCAGCTTGCTGTTTCACTGAGCCCAGCCCCCCGACTACAAATCCCATGATGCATTGCTGCAGCTGTCACTAGAGGCAGCTGGGGATACAGGATTTAACCCCTTCATGACTGAGCTTGTTTTTAGTTTCTGTTGGTAAATGACTGGACACACTTTTTACATGTTTGCTGCGTGATTCCTCCACGTCAGTCCTATACTTTCTTACTCAGCGCACCCGCACATATTATATATCGTTTTTATTAGAGGACAGATAGGACTATATCATATGAAAGTGGTCACCCAGCATACAATGTCACCGTCACCGAGTGTCACACTTAAGTGACAGCGACATACTTTGAACATCGCTGTCATGAGGGGTGTGTTAAATATATATATTTTTTATTAACCCCTTAGGGTGAAAAACAAATCCAATGTTTATTGTAATTATTATTATTAAAAAATTATAGTATTAAAATATATTTAAATATATCATTTTAATTTGTTACATTTTTTTTTACACTTTTTATAATTTATTTAAAAGGAGAACTATGGGGTCAGGGCTTTTCCCCATTGTTCTCCTTAGGGTAACGGGAGGACACAAACTAGGAGGACACACCCTAGGCTCAGTATATAGAGAGCTGTAGCTCGTGGTATACTGAGACGCCGCAGCTGAAGCGGATCCCGACAATTATGTCTGAATCCGCCCTGCTGCGTGAGTGACAGGAGGCTCTGCCAATCTAGAGGCAGAGCCAGCTGTACCCGCCCCCTCCCCCGTCCGTTCCGCCAGTCAGCGCTGGAGGATCGGAGCGGGGGGGGGGCAATCCAGCCCCTCCCCCCGTCACGGCAGAGAGCTGTGACAGGATCGAGAGGTGAGCGAACGCCGGTATGTGTTCGCTCACCTCCCGATCTACTGAGCCGACCTGTGACAGTCTCATTGTCACAGGTCGGCTAGAACTATGAGGACCCCCCCCCCCCCCCCCCCCCTCATAGTTCTCCTTTAATTACTGTATTTGCCGGCGTATAAGGCGACCCCCTACTTTTTCTGTTAAAACATCGGTTTTGGGCTATACTCGTCGTATAAGACGAGTACAGCCCAAAATAATTGTTTAAATGCACCCGCTAACCTCCATGGCGGTATTCCCGAGTGCGGCATGTGCCTACAAGCGAATTGCTTCTCTTCTCATTGCAAAGTCAATGGGAATTCAAAAGCAGCTTGATGCAATTATAGAAGCAGGTCAAAAGCGTCTCAAAATGAAGCTGGCTGGATGCACCTGACAGACGTGTGCACCGGCAAAGAATTAGCTTCGTTTTCGATTTTCGTGATTCGTGTCCGAAACTCAATTCAGATTCGTATGAAATACGAATTTTCGTTAGTTTCCTTTACTTTTTGTAACAATTCCGACTGTTCGTTATGAGGAAGTTAAAAGGGAAACCAGTAGGGATGGTCAGCAGGTTCGATTCAAGCGTTGTGGGAACCCCTCATAATGGGCACAGCAGGTGTACAGACCTGGGAACTCAGCACAGGGATGGTGGGAGCTCCTCATAATGGGCACAGCAGGTGTACAGACCCGGGAACTCAGCACAGGGATGGTGGGAGCCCCTCATAATGGGCACAGCGGGTGTACAGACCCGGGAACTCAGCACAGGGATGGAGGGAGCCCCTCATAATGGGCACAGCGGGTGTACAGACCCGGGAACTCAGCACAGGGATGGTGGG